CGTTAAAAAAAAAAAGATGTAATAAATTTAATTGTAGTGACCCCCCTTTCCGTGTGCCTTTACCCCGTTCGGAGGACCTGCACCAGATACGAGTGCTGTTTTTCTTACCGAGGGTGCAACAAAAGGTCACATTGATTATCATGCAAGATGCTCACATTTTGTGGTGATTTTTTATCAATGATAATATATTACTTTTGTTTAAAAAAATAATATCTAGTACTTACAAGTATCTCATGATGAAAAAATTACCATTTTATTCGCCACCCCCACTTGAAACCCATAACGACACATTTGGCCAAAATCTGCCGAAACGGTAATTAAACCCGCGCGCTCGATCGTCAATACGTGGTACACGCGATTATACTTACACCACCCGAATGAAAAGCTTACTTTTTCGGAAGCAAAACCAAACTCCCTATCATACAGCTCCGGCGCATCAATGGCCAAAGCAAATGCATACCCGTGTCTCTCGCGAGGATTAATGCGAACCTTCTTTTCTACCATCGGCTATTCCATGCGCATACGTATGGCAAACATGGCTACGCTTACGAGTGTATTATACACACGAATGAAAAGATTCATTAGACGGCAGAAGCAATTACCCGCTTGGTTTTATTTTTTTCCATTTCCTTTTAGTTTTTTTCACTGCTCCTCTCTTATTTCATTAACAGAATAACAAGAAGACGACCCCGGCCGCGCCTAAATGCCGGGCTCTCCTTCCGAGCTACCAAAACGACGGCTAGAAAAGTTAAGAGGAAAAAAAAAGGGTCCGATGGGTACAGGTAAATCGGAGGCAGTTGTTAGGGGGGAAGCGACGGACAATCAAAGCGGAAAAGCCTCCTCGAAGATTTTCCGCTTTGCGCGAGGCAAGGGACGCGGGGGTTGGAATTAAAAGAAATTCTCTTTCGGAATAAATGTCTTTTGATCATCGTCCTGCGGGGGAGGGAGCCCGACTCGGTTTCTATGCAGCTTCTCGCAAGGGCTGAGTCCAGTAAATAATTGGCTCGACTGTTGGCGTCTTTTTTTTTTTTTTTTTTTTTTCCTTTCTGTCGCATCTCTGTTCATTTTTCTTTCGTTCTTCTTCATTGCGCGTGGCTACCCGAGCGAGCTTTTTTCGTCTTCAAAATAGATAAAAGCTCCTAAATTCGGTCCTATTACATACGTAAACTCTTCTCCACAGCTGTTTCGTCGATCGCGAACAAAGGTCAATACGGTGAATCGTGTTTGCATAAATTCCAATCAATATGTGCATATAGCAAAGCTCGATGAAATTTTAAAAATAGATTTATTGGTAAATCAAAGTTATATTGAAGCAGTACTGTACATACACGAAAATACAAAAAATACTTTGCACACTAGAGAGTTGGAATGGATTAAATTGTGCGAAAAATGATTTATAAAATGCTGGAGGCTTGTAATCGAGGAGGCGATTAAATTAAGATCGACACTTGAACTCGCTGTTCCTTTATTTCAAGCGTCTTTTCAACGCGATCAATGTTTTTTCCTGTTTTCCACAATAAATTTGGTTCATCACGAGAGGTCTATTCAATTTTTAAATTTTTTTGTTCATTCGCGATATAACTTACTATTCTCGAGTAATGTGGCTCAAAAGATCATTTCTAACAACCGTTGGATGACTACATAAATACCAAAACACACGTATATATGTCCGACAGGATTAAAGAAGATTAGCGAGTAAAAAAAGTATAAAATTTACTCACAAGAACGTCCTGCAGGAGCTCGTACTCGTCGAGAAGGATGACCTTGCAGTGCAACAGCCGCGGCCTGCGATTACCGGAAGGCCTCAGTCCCGGGCACAGCCAGTCGACGACCATTTCTCCCTTTGTCCCTCACTCGCTCCTTCCCCGCCGATGATAATCCTCACCTCTTGTCGTCCTCCTCGATGTCGCGTATACGTGTGGCTATACTGGTCCTGTGCCTCATGACATCGCGCCCAGCATCCTCCTCTCTGTAACAAGAGAAGTGCGCGAGACGTGGTCTTTAGGGGAATTTTGATATCTGTCGGTGTAACGCTTGAGCCAGAGCTCGCTCTCTCTCTCGTCTGGACTTACTCTACACATATATGTGACGGGGGAATCGCGGTGCCCTTCGAAAATAATAATACCTAATATTGGGGGCTATCATACCTCCTGGAGGTGCCCAAGTTGTGTATGAAATTTACTGGGAGCTTTTAAGAATTTTAACCATTAAGAATCTTGGTGATTGAATGTACGAACAATCTTTAAGGAGTTGTTGTCTTTTTTCATCTTTTATATTTCTATTGAGCTAGATTTTCGTAAATACGGTTCATAGTTTTCCGTTTTCTTTTTACATTAGGTCAAAGTAGCCTATAACCGTACATAGTTGTGCGTATAAGTACAATGTAACATTAACTTTAAAATTTCTTGGATGGCTGTTGAATAAACACTCGTAAGTTACCACCCCCCATCTTAATCGATAAACAAATCCTGTGCGTAATTCGTAGTGGATGTAGTATAATCCTTGAACAAAAAAAAATATTGTAAATGGCCAACTCTCTAAATTTCATGATTTGCATAAGTGAAAAAGATTGATTGTCGTTGGTAAAACAGTGAAAAGTCAGGGTTGTTTATTCGCACCCACTCGATATAAATTTCCATTCTATGTATTTATCAGTAACCCAACCAACGATCTTGATTCAAATAAAAATTCAAAGTAGTACCAACAGTAAGTTTAATTGAAATAGTGAAACGTTAACAACGAATATCCACCATTTCGCAATAAACTCCACCATTTCAGATTGAATGTACTCTAGTTCACATAAGTTACAAGTATTATACAACTTTGAAACAGTGAAATCGTCCATTTCACTGCAAAAACATAGTGTACACTATGTACTAGTTTGAAAAAATTGTGAAAAAAAATTCTGAAAACCCAGTCAACGAACGGGTAAAAAAAAACCACACGGGAAACATACTAATTGGAGAAGGCTTCATACGCCTCAAAAGCTCCCGACTTTTCATCTCGCTTTCCGTAAAATTTTCTCGCGTTTTCGCGCGCCGAAACGCGATAGCGCGACTGATAACTACTCAGCCGCTAAGCAAATCCCGTCGCATCAATAAGTCAAAGAGAGCACGGAGCCTTTTTTTTCCCCTTCTTCTCCTCCTCCTTCTCTATACCTCGAGTCAACAGAGTATAGGCGGTGGCGCACTTTATACACTCCTCCATCACCCTCGTGTTCGTCGTCGCGTCACCGTAAACTTCCGCTCTCCCCAAAAATAGTACGAAAAGCTCACGATCATGCAGACAACCGTAGCGAAGCTAAAGCAGATTTTTTTCCCAAATTGGATACACGCGCCTTAATCGCTCGGCCGTTTTTACTTGTGCTCCCTGTATACACCTACACGTGTATACGCAGCAGCGACTAATTTGCCGTGTCGTCGGAGGGCTCCGAAGAAAGCTCGCAAGCTCCATCGTGCATGGGTATATATAGGGAGGAAAGACGGATACATAAATTAACGCGTGCCCGCGCGTACAAATAGTCGCGGGGATGAAATGAAGGGAAAAAGAGGGAGAGGATGAGAAGTGATAATGTTGGATGTGCTGCAGTATAGGGGCGAGGGTGTTTTTCGCGGGACGCTTAGTTACAAGCCAAATGTCTGTGTATATGTTCGTTTATCGCGCTGATCTCTCTCCTTCTTTTATTATACGTATACGACGTACGAGCAAGAAATGGAGGAGATCCTGTTATTTGCACGCGTGTGTGTGTGTGTGGACATGTGTAAAATATATGTACATGTTTTAGGGGTATCGTGCTTTTATAATGGTCCAATGACGAGGAGGGGGAGTCCGTGAAAGCACGGCATGCAGCAGTGGTGGGTATATAAGTACGGAGTATAAAAGTGTTTCAAGCCCCGGCGCCTCGCTTCCTTATGTACCTGCTCTTTCTCTCGCGCTGCTTGTCTTTACCGTTACAGACTGCTGGGCGTCGTCGTCGTCGTCGTGTTTTGTTGTACATTTGCATTTTCCACGAGTTGCGCGAAAGTGTGTGCCGTACGTTGTTGCTTGATGCAGGTTTTTTTCGAGTTGCCATGCGTGTGTGAGGCGGGAGTGAGTCCCATTAAAAAAAAATTTTTTTTTCTCCCAAGAGCAAGTGCATTATCCGTGAGTGGAGATTTTTTTTTTTTTTCTTTTCCAAGAGTAGCTGCACCGAGGATTTTGAATTTTACTCGCAAGAGGGCCGTGCTGGCGAGTCGAGTTGACGGAGCGTCTTAATTTGCGCTGGCTGTGCTGCTGATTTTTCAATTTTTCACCTTATTTGTGTGTAAAAGTTTTTTTTATTTTCCTTTAGGTAGTGTGCTGTTTCTTGCAGCCGAAAACAAATTGCATACGAAATTTAATTGGTTACGTGATGTATACATACTTTTTCCAGGAAAAACATTTCTATTGATTCAATTCATCGATCTCTCTTAAAGAGAAATAAATATTTTGAATTCGCAGTGCCCAATTGGTTTTCCATACATCATACAGACTTACACGTGTGTTTATAATACAATTAAAAAATGTTTCGCAAGTGAATAATACATATTTATTATTGTTATTTTTTTTTTATTCCTTTGAACCGCTTATTTGCTATGACTTGCAAAAACATTACGCAAGTGCAAAAAAGGGTTGTATTTTATTAGTTTTTTTTTTTTTTTTTTTTTTTTTTCAAAACAATATTTTATGTAAGTCCTGAAATAATGAATTATTTGTCATTCAAACGATTAATACTTGACGGAGCATATGACACACTCCAATAGATACATTGAAGTATTATTTTCAATAATAGCGAAAAGCTCAGGCTTGAGGAATCCGTGTACCCATTAATTATTTTACAGTAAAAATTCAAAGGCACGAAATTGAAAAAAAAAAATTCTCAGAAAGATTGAAAATATCAACATTTTTTCGATCCCCTTTTTATTTTTGATCTTCAATTATCATGAGTCGCATATCCATATAGTTCACTCGTTAGCACGAAATAAAAGCACCAAAGTAAAAAAAAAAACAAAAATCATTCCAATTATTTGTCGCATGCAGTGTCAATCCCGAAATCATCACGAAAGACGTGTAATATTCATGAAATCCGTGCGTGTTAATTGACGCACAACTCGTTAAAATGCACTTGGTAAATTTTTTAATTCCACCCGCACGCGCCGAACGCGAATGGTCCCCGAAATCCCAAATGAAAACGAATTTAACGAAGAAAAAAAAAAGCAAACATGTCCCGCAGGTGAGGTACAAAATACAAGCACGTGCACACGATGCATCATACAATATAGTATACACACTATATTATACTGTTGCAGCAATCAAGTGGAAACATTAAATTTGTCCGAAGGTTTTTTCAAGCGCACTCGCAAACAGGATAATCTAAATGAGTAGGGAAAAAAAAAAAAAAAAAAAAAAAATAGATGCGCCAACAAGTGCAAAAAAAGAAAGAAGCACCGAATGCGAGGAGAAACTGCACAGGGGGAAAGAGCCCCTCGCTTGAAACCCCCTGCACTCACAATACACGTGCACGTATACATGTCGCTCGTCCTCCCTTTCGCGGCGTACCTACGCACAAATATGATACCTCATCTCGTCATTTCGCGATTTAAATGTAAAAATCGATGGAAAATAAAAAAAAAAAATAAAAAAAAGCTGTATCCACACACGTATTATGCAACAGAGCGGCGAAGCGGATGAGGAAGGAGATGAAAATAGGAAAGAGCTGCGCTTCAGAAAAACTCCGCGCATCAGCAGGGAGAGACCGCGAGCAGAGTATATGTTCATAGGTATGTCTGCGTGTATGCATGCAGGGAGGCTCGGGCGTTGATGCAAACCCCGGTAAACGAGGTATATATATGTATACACCCCGCGAGGGGAGAAGGAAGAAAGGAGTAACAACAACAAAAAAAAAAGGAAAGGCAGGGGGAGCGTTGCTCTCCGCAACAGCAACCGGTCGCCTCCTCCGTGTGGATTATAGTTACGCACGTGCGCCTATAAAATATCTTTTCCTCGACTCCCTTGGCTGCCGATGTATAATTATTGTGTGACGCTACCCGCTCGGGAGAAAAGGGAAGAAGCTAGAGAAATCTCGCGCTTCCTTCTCCTCCTTGCGGGCTCGTCACTCACGGTTCTCCGGCACTATGTGCTTGCGCAACCACCGCTGGGGTTTAATGACTCGCGACTCGCGTGTACTTACCTGTGGCTTTTCTACGGTATATGCGACTAAGGCTTTTGATCACGGAAGATGGTATATATATATAGGTGTTTGAGGATCTTCGGTGCGATCTGGGATCTGTCCTCATCGTTTTATCCAAGTTTTAACGAACGAAATTCCGGTGGGTCCGATCGATGAACGAGTGCGCGTTCGTTTTGTATACCGTTTTGTTCCGTATATGTGTATTTGAAAATGATGTGCCTGGTTATTGGTAGCCTGACTAGGGGAAGGGTAACTTTTTAATTTTTCGACAAACGTTTTTTTGTTCAAAGTGTTAGAAGTTATGAGTTGTGTGTTTAACGAAATTTCTTCCAACAAACGGAAGAAATAAATAACGTTTCTCAATATCGTATGGTAAATAGTGGCGAAAAAAAAATTTTTCTCGTCTAAAATCATGTGCATTAATTGGAAAAAAAAAGTTTTTCTTTTAATATGTTTAAATTTAATTGTGCCCAAGTTTGTAATCGTAAGCACTGACAGGCTTACGAAGGCACTACTTATTTATTGGTTATTACTTTTTTTTACAGGCCGAGGAGAGCAAAATTTACAAAACCTCGAGTACAATAATATAACTCGTATACTACTACAGTACTTGCTAGAGTAACAGTA